AGGAAGAGAGAGAGAGAGAGAGAGAGAGAGAGAGAGAGAGAGAGAGAGAGAGAGGGAGAGATTGTCGCGATATTTCACGAGTCGCGAATTTCTCAGAATTTACCGGCGACTTTTATGCGGCCCATAAGCTATTTTTGTCAGGGCAACTTTATAACGGAGAAGAGCCGCGCGATCTACCTCGGGGCGTGATAAAGCGCCGACTGACAGCGTGTAATACATATATTTTAGGTTTATCGTATCAAAAGTTTCTTTCCGGTCCTTGCGACCGGGCTGGCATATCCAGCAGAGACTCCTCGGTACGATCGAACGAGCGGAAGATTTTACATTCGTTTGCAACATCATATAACATGCACTATCGAGAGTCATGTAATATATAGTCGCTGAATTTATCTTCACATGTGAGCACCGTCAAGTTCTACAAAATCTAAAAATATGAGAGGAAAGGAATATTCAAGGTATCGCGCTGAGCGACGGCACGTGCGCTATCAGCACGATTGATGTCGCATGAGTAGATGAAACGCTTCCAGCGTATTCAGCGAGGGGTCTTAGAACAATTGTCGATTGTTGTTCGTTTCTTTTCATAAGACTCTCTATGGAAAGTTTAAGCCCGTTAATAAATTTTCGGGTTGCGCCGATTCTTCGGTGATTCGTCGCGTTGAGAAATTAAGCAGCTACATTTCCTTTCGATTTTCAGCCATGCCTTTCGTAATTCATTTAAATTAAATTAGCCGTTTTTTGTGACTGTATTAGATGGCTCTACATATGATTGTAAAATACCAAAGGGAATTTTTTTTTCCCGTGAAATGAAATTTGTATAGCAACAACAACAATCTTTTTTTAAATTGTTATGATATTCCGCGAAGTCAGCTCTCAATAGTTCTCCCATGCGAGAACATTGAAATTAACCACTCGCGAGTTTCACTGTATCGCTCGTTTATTCCACTCTTTTGTATGTGCGCTCTCAACTTGAAAAAAAGATTACTCCTTTTATGCTGTTATCTCTCGCTGTGAAGTAGAAAGAGCAAACGGCAAACATTTATTTCGATCGCGTTACAATACCATTCTTGGTGATTTTCTGACTTACTTTTTATCGCGAACGTGACCTTTCTTAATGATATGTTGCCGCGAATGCACAGTCAACATCGAGTTAGTTCGCATCTCAAAGTTGTCTAATTAGCCGTAAATGCATGCCCTAACGTACTACTTCGTGCTCGCAACAGCTAGCAATTTATCCCGTCCAAGTTGCGTGTGAGAAATATGTGGCGATCCGGTTGGTTATCCTTCACTTGAGCTATTTCCCTCGATGATACAGTTACTCGTTCGTTATTATCTTTCAATCGAGCGATAAAGCTTAATATTTACTTGAAAGAAAGGAAAAAAATTCTCGTCTAGTCTAATGTCGCAATCTTCAAGTGACAAGTGGACGCGCAGAGGCAACGCTTATTTGTGGTGTTAAACTGCAGCAAAAAAAAAAAAAAAAAAAAAAAAAAGGGG